GTATAAAGCTGCAAGGAATCTAGATCTTTGTTCTTTGATTTGACAATTATTACAATATAAAATGTAATGTTTCTCATCCCCTACTTCATTGCATTCATGGAGATTACAATGACTCGGTTAGCCTTGCTCAACTGGTTCGTAACCAGTCTTGTGATTGGTTGTTGCCAATGCTACAGGCCACGCCTCCAAACTTTGCCGTGCGTTCGGGCAAACCGTTAGGAATTCCTAAATGGAGTCAATTTGTGTAGTTTTCTTGATTTATTCTGCAGATATCGGTAAAATGTAGGCAAGGCTTTGGCAAAATTTGAAGGAGCAACTAATATTCTTCAACCTGGTATTTTTTTTAGATTTTATTTTTCATTCTTTTCGTCTGTTTTTTCGAGTTTAACAAATGTGAGCTGGCTGGAGCCTTCATCCCTTGTCTATTTCTTACACTCGATACCAGCCGATAACCCCCCCCCCCCGCTCATAAACACCGCGTACTACAGTTGATTATAGTTCCTGGGCTCCCTGTGGTTGCAACGGCCGACTTGCCATTTATACGACGCTGTACGAACACTAGTAGTGGAAATTACAAGTGCTCTAAATATAGCTTAGTTGTTGTATTTTGTTCATAAATGAAAATACGATAGTATTACTTGTAATTTTGCTGTATTTGAATTATTACCATAAATGTAATTATACAACATAGAAATATTACGAGCACTTGGAGCGGCGAACGTTTGTTTTTGCAAATCGGGAAGATAACAAATAAAATAAATATATATATATTATTATATATATATATATATATATATATATATATATATATATATATATATATATATATATATATATATATATATATATATATATTTTTATTATACCTATCCCTCCATGATATGAATGAATGCGACTGGGCTGAAGGAAACGTAATTACATTGCTGTGCTGCCGCGAAAACAATAAAGGCAGTAGACCTCGCCGCCTGAGGGCGCCCGCACTATCAAATGGTTGCAAGCCGAAGGTGTTACAAGACTACCACCTTGAAATCAATTGAATACAACCATTCAGAATGTCCTTCCCAGTGCGCTGAAAACAATCTGGTGAAAAAGTGTTTTCTGTGAGATTTGTTATGATCAGCGACTACCAAGCTGTTCAAAGTGATCGTGTAAATACGTGATCATAGTAAATTACGAAATTTATGGAGGATGCAGAGGCACGAAAATGCCCGGGTTATAAACATGCCTCTTATACATATTCAAACGAAACACAAACGATCCACAAACAATTCAATTGTGACTCAAACGACCAAAAAACAATCAATCAATCAATCACATCCATAAATATCGTAATAATAATAATATTTATTAGCCACATAAAAAGAAATTTAAAAAACTATAAACTAAAACAAAAAATCATATTCTTGAAATATAAAAAAAAATTTAAAAAAATATGCATAACAAATAAAGACAATTTGCAACCAATGGTGAATACAGAATATAGAATGATCACAAAATGTAGCCTAATACACTGATAGTTGTTGCTGTTTTGTTTCATAGCTGTTTTTAAGAAGACAGCTAAGAGTGGTGCTAGTGTATGGTTTCCATAACATTAATATGAATTTATTCTGACTATTTTCTTTATCAAAATTTGGAACTTTATTTTGTACAGTCAGGAATAATTTGTCCCTATGGTGACTGTAAGCTGGACATTTCATTACAAAATGTTGCTCATCCTCAACTATATTTTGGCTGCACATATCACATGTTCTTTTATCCAGCGGCACATTATGTCTGCTTTTCTCAATTTTGAGGTCATGGTTGCTTGTCCTGAATTTGTCAATTGACCTTCTAAGACCCTGATTCTGCACATTAATTAGGTTATTTTCAATTTTTAAATCTTGTTTTAAAAGTCTGTATGTTTGTTTTCTATTATCATTATGTCTGTCTAAAATCCATTGGTTCTCAAATGATTTGTTATGAATAAAGTCTATTTTTTTTATTTATTATTTCACTTGAGTTTACAATGGTAACAACATCAATATCTTGCATGAGGGTTTCTACACTTGTGCTTTCATCACCCTAAACATCACTAAGTAACCAGACAAGCGTCAGCCAGTTTACAAGCTCGATGAGGGCGCTCTTCGCAAGTCTTGTCTTTGTGACGGTCAAAATAAGATGTGTAAAAATAACGCATTAGTGTTACCGAAGCGCAAGAAGCTGCCGTTCGCGCCTTGTTTATCCACTCAGATTTGGAGTTGGCTGAAGATGGGAATCAGAACGAATCACCAATTGAAGAATTCAACAACAAGGGGTATTTCGTACTCTCTGTGGTAAATTTTTAAATATGCGATTATGATTTCCATTCTTCGTTGAGGGTCGGCAAGGAGTATTTTCGTAAGCTGTAATCAATTGTTTTATTTTCGTAATAATGTAATTTAACTAAATAAAAACGTAAATTTGTAGACATGGGCAAGGTGTAAAATGTAATCAGCTATTTTATTCGTCATTAATTTGTACAAAGATGTTATTTTTTGTAAGCGTATAAAGCATTTCCCAAATTAAATCTCAGACTAGTAATACAACAGACTCGCAACGCGGCGTTTTCTTTTGAAGTAATGCGTGCCACGTTTGTTTATGTTATCAGTTCTTATCGTACCGTGTAAACGTTGCTGAGCAACAACATTTTCATTATATTTCACAAAATAACGCGAGATCTATTCATATTACAATCAACTATCGCGATGCATCGCGAGACATAAAGACAGGAAGTGGCATAGAGGGCTCATACCACTAATTGAATTGCCATAGACGACAATGTTAACATATGACGAGATTGCTATATGAAAATGACAAAGAAAGTTGAAAATATGGCTCAAAAATGGGAAATCAACATGCCAGTAATCAACCATATGAAAAAAACTAACATGTTGGCCAGCTCAAACTCTTGCAAATCTCAGGTAAACAAGACACACCTACTGTATTTGGATTGCACCAAGAGAAATCACTGGAAAAACACCAAGATTAGAACATCCATTAACACACAGAATAAACCCACAGGTACACAGCCGCTAAGTAGTAAACAAAAGATCACATGTTGGTCTCACCTCTGACCCAGGTGATTACGCCCTCAAACAGGGAGCACCTGAGAAAAATAATATTTAAAAAATTTCATTGGTTCTTGCTGGGCATTTAAATTGAGCAGCCATTGGTTAATTAGTGGCATGAGACCTAGACGACAGCAGTTGACAGTGAACTTCGAAAATGGCATTTACGGAACAATTTGGCGAATCTGAGGACGATAATTACGAGTGGGAAGCTATTTTAGGAGAACATTTTGACGAAGATAATGACAATCTTTCTGTAGAACTTTGCAACCCTTGATCGATCTCGTGTTTTTTATTTGCTGAAATTAAGAATAAGAAGAAATATACTGGGCTATTTTTATACAAAACTATGACGGAAGTCAAACAAAATCAGTGAAACTCGAAATAGCAACAATACTGACACACAATAGAAAATTGAAACAGTCACTGAACAACGCGTAGATCGCGTACTATGAAGTCGAACGCGACAAAAATAACACACCTCCAGTTTTTACCGTTACCGGATCACGCTGATACGCTGAGAGAATTAGTATGTACATGACACTAGCTGTTGGACATCGTTGATCCATCTTGTAAAATACAAGGCTAGACAATGAATCGA